TCTTTTAAAACCACTGGCTTTAAAATCTTTCGAGCGATACTGATTTAGCAGAACTTTGTTATTGGGACACAAGGCAATCGGTGACTGTTTACAATGTGTGAAATCAATAGGAACCCCTCGCTGCTGACCTCTGAAGGCAAATAGCAACCAGAAAACCCTCACCGGAGTGTATCACTGGAAGGCAAAAAAGAAAAAGAAAAATGCACAAAGCTATTGTCAGTTTGGACAGCACACATTTTAAAGCGCAACTCCATTATCACTGCGAAAACATCGCAGGATAATGATGATATTTTAGAGTGACGGGGGTGTCGGGAGTTCACAGTAGCTGACTTGTAGATAAAATAATGGCTCACTGAAGAATGCAAAAAGACGCCACTGAGTTGGTCCATCAATTGCAACCATTTAACATTGTGCATAGTCACAGTGCCTCTTTTCATATGCAGCGAGTGGTTCACTGTTGCTCAACGTTTCCAATTCAACAAAACCAAGTGTCAACACCCATGCTGGCAGCTCTGCGGGGCTGTACTTTGGCACAGCAGAGCACCGGCCTAAATGCTAACGTCAGCATGCTAACATGCTCACAGTGACAACGTTAACATGCTGATGTTTAACAGTACAGTAATGTCATTAGTTTTTTTTCAGATATTTGGCCATAAATCAAAGTATTGGACAGATTGAACTTTGGACTTGATGATGTGGTTACATGGAAAGTCAGGGGATCACCAAAGTCATGAGGATGTATCCTCTGGGCACCACAAATGTCTAGGGATGTAACAGTATATCACAAGGCAGTTAAGTCGCATACAAACATGTAAAGATTCAAATCGATGGGATGAAAAATGAATCGGGATGCCCCTTTCTGCAGTTGACAGGGTTTTACTTTCACTTTCACTTTTACAAAGAAAAGGAAGTGTTGTATCACAGTTTATTCCTCAACTCATAATATATTCTTCAGTTTGATAAATAAAATATTAGAGAAGATCTATTGGAAGGAATCTTTTTCAGTCATAATTTGTCTTCAACCTCATCTTGAAAATCATGTGGTCAACCCAATATCATGAATTGTATCATACTGTCAGTTGACCTAGAAATATCTATCAAACTGTATGGCAAGCCATTTAATGGTTCTATATAGATATTTCAGTCTGGACCAAAGTGGTGGCCATTTCAAGAAACTCAAAAGAATCTGATTTGACTAAACTTCTGAAAATGAGTCGGACACATTTACACTCTAATGTTGATGAATATGTACTTCCTCTGACAAAAAAAAAAAGAAGCGAAATACAAACATGAGAGCTGTATTTCCTCTGGAACCACCGCTGTGATGATCAATGTGCTGCTACTCATGACAACCCAAAACTTCTGCTTTAACATGTTCTCTTATTAAAAAAAATCTACTGGGAAGCACTGGGACAAATGATGCCATGCTGATTTCAATAGTCTGACATTTCAGTCTACATAGCCGGTCCCAGCCGCCATCAGTGTGCGGTCTAGTGCCCAGGAGCTAAAACTTAAGAAGAGGGGGAGATGAGGGTGGAGGGATAAAGGGCAGAGGTGGAAACTGGCTTCTGCAGTAGCTCTCAGCTGTGTCTAGAAATGTGTGTGAAGTGACTTGTCTACAAGTACACAATTTCTGTTTGTTGATGTCCACGAGTTTGCTTATTCAATTATGTTTTATCTATGGTGTCATTTTGAATATTTTCACCCTCTTCTGCCATCTAGTTAAGTGTATTTTTAATACAACAGCTGATTTTCCTGCTTTCACTGCTGTAATAGAGGACAGAGGGCCTGGTCACCTGGTCAGCACAGAGGGAGGGAGAGGACTGAAGGTGAGGAGCGTCTGACTTGCCCCCGGGCAGAGATAGATAGATAAAGAAAGAGAGAAAAGAGAAAACCTTTAATCTGTACAATCAGACATCCAGGCTATGAGGGACTGATCCTTTTCCCTGATGGGTATTGTCAAGCATGAGGCTTCTTCAGCAATTCCTTTTCTTGCCTTCAAATAAATTAACCCTGTGAGGTTTAGATGTAAAACCTGATGACGTAAGAAACTGTGAAAATTCTGTGTCCTCTTTTATTCATCCCACTCTAAAGAATACGTACATGAAGATTCAAATGCTTTGATTTGAGACTTCAGACCGCTTCTTTTTTTTTTAATGGTGTTCATTTTCAGACACTATTAGAGCTGCAACTGAGGGTTAGTTTCATGATAGATTAAACTGACAATTACTCTCTCAGTTAATGGTTTGGGCTTTATGGTAAATGTCAGGAAATTGTGAAAATGTGCCCCTAAGAATCCTTGTTGCTTGTTTTTTTCTGACAAATAGTCCAAAACCCAAAGAGAACAACTAACTTTTGATAGAGAGATTAATCATTTTAAGCCAAAATGCAAAAAACTATCTAAATCAAAGGTGACTAATTGCTGGGTTTCTCAGATGTGTGGTGGTTAACTGAATATCTTTGGGTTTGGGACTGTTGGCCAAACAAAAGAAGCAATTTGAAGACATCACTTTGTGCCTTGGGGCGTGTTCATGGACATTTCACGCCTTGTATCAAACTGTCAGTTGAGTGTATCATTACAAACCTAGAAATGACTACCAAATTACATGGTAAGCCGTTTAATGGTTATATATAGACATTTCAGTCTGGACCAAAGTGGTGGCCATTTCAAGAAACTAAAAAGACATTTTCTGACATTTTATAGGGCGAACCATTCATTAAGAAAATAACTGGCAGATTAGTTGATTGCTTTCTTAAAAAACTGTTAGTTGCAGACTTAAATAATACAGGCAAAAGTTGCAGAACATGTGAGAGGGCTGGGGACCAGATAATGGCATTAATATTCTGTCAATCAATGAACTGCTTAATCAACTAATAGTTCCAACACTAAATAATGTAGCCCAAGTGTCTTAAATAAAGTTATGCCTCTTAATATGCACTTCTAATGTATGTCAACCTCTTGCCCGGACACAATTTTGGCAATATTTCTTTTTTAATTCAGCAAATTAAGTAAGACACAAACTTATCGGGGCTACAAAAAGTAAAGTTTAAAACTTTGGAAATAGGACACATCCTGTAGAATAAAGCTGTGTCGCTGCAGGAGAACAAGCCCTCTGTGTATACTGAACATTGGAGAAACGAGTTTAGCAAGTTGAGCGTCTCTTCCTGACTGCCCTTACATGAGGGCTACAGGGCAGACAGCATTAAAAGTATCCTGTATTTGTCAGGAAATGGAAGTATTCTGGTATATTATGGACAGCTGCTACAGTCCACTTTTAAAAAATAATCTAAATATCGTTTAATTTCGAAACATTTCTGTACTTTACATAAGCTAACATACTATTTTTGTTGTAGCAGGTGCTTCGTTGATAACCTTTAATGTCAACTTCCCCCGCCACAACAAGTCGCTACAAACTTACCTTTCCCTTCAGGTCGAGGATAAATATCGCAGACGCCGACATGTTGGTGGAGAAAAATCCTCGAGAACAAGAACTAGTCTAGATAATATCTGGGTCTACTGTAAGATATGGGTCACTCAAAGGGGATAAAACTCGCTCCCATCATCCTCCTTCCTCCTCTCCTCCACTCTCTTCAGTCGCTGCGTTTAACTGCAACTCGCTGTTTTTCCGGACACGAGTATCAAGTTAACTGCAGTACAACAAATACAACTTCCGGCTGTGAGGGGCTGGGATTTTTTTTATTTTTTATTTTTTATTTTAATTCAACTAATATCAATTTTTAAAAAAAAAGTTAAACGCATTTTAGTTATTTTAGGGAAACGTGTGCTTCACTTGAGCAAACTTATATCATTCTACTTTTTAACTTTTCACCATTATACTTTTACGCAGTGGAAACACTTTTTACTCCACATTAATTTCACAGCGACAGTTACTTTGTAGATTAGATTTTACATACAAAATCTATAAATTAATTTTAAAAAACGTTGTATTGTAAAAGATTAAATATTAAAGCAGTTAAAGTTTGCTCCACCTTGGACATTTAAAGCTGCAGTAGTTAACTTTTATAAAAAAATTACTTTTTGTCATATTTGCTGACACTTTCCTGACAGTAGTACGTGAGACAGATAATCTGTGAAGAAATCAAGTTCCTCTAGTGCTCCTAATGCCATTTGTAAGAATCCACCAGGCCTGGACGAAAACAACCAATCAGAGAAAGACGCTTTGGGATGGAGGCTTGGAGATAGTTGTTAGATTGTTGAGTCTCATTCCTAAAGCGTCTGTATCTGACAACCTGGGAATGTCAGTCAACTATCTTTCTTGGCTCTGATTGGTTGTTTTCGTTCAGGTGGATTCTTGCAAATGGCATTAGGAGCACTGGGAGGAGCTGCAGTTTTAAGTACTCCTCATATGTTAATGCATCAAAAGTACTTTGGAAACATCAAACACATTTTATTGCAAATATTTCTGTCCTTTTAAGTAAAATTTGAAATGCTGGACTTTGACTTGTAATGGAGTATTTGTACTTTTACGTAAATAAATCAAATGTTTGTACTTTACTCCACTAGTCTACTTTCATTTGAGGATAGCAGATACCAACTTATATTGAGGGGTGTTAGTTTGTTTTAGTTTGTGTTAGAGCTAACAATTTCAAATTCTGCACTTTTATTTTGAAAGCAGAATCGCGATGGTTCCGGTTTCGCTCCGGCTCGTCTGTGTGAACTTGACCCGCTGTGTTTCCGGGTGGGAGCCTTTGCCTGACAGCTCCACACAGACCTGTCAGACCGCTCTCATCAGCTGCATGGTCTCAGAGGATCCGAAACGCCCCAGGCCTCTTTTCGGGACACGGTGTCAAGCTTAATTACTGTTGTTGATGCCAGTGTTGTAAAGTTTAAAAAGAAAGGTGAGTGTGATGATTCCACTTTGTGACCAATGAGGCAAACCACAGTCGAGACCAAATGGTGGAGAAACTAGTCCTCAAAAGTTACATCCATTGTTTGGATAAAAAAAAAAAAAAAAAAAAGATTTGACTTGTGCAAACAGTTGAAGTGAACATTTTTATTTTTACTCAGATCACACTGTTTATCATTTTTTACAGAGTTTGCTTGAAGGTAGTCAGGGTTCTTGCACAGCCCCAAGACTGTAGACCTTTTTCACAGCAGCCATTTTGACATGAAATAGTAGGATAAACTCCACTACCAATGTTACTAATTAAGGCCCCATTCCATTTAGTATAGCAGAGCATTTCCAGTGAGCCAACATGCATTATAACAACATCCTGACTCGGTTTGTTGTGAATGGACGAGAACCCTAATTAGTATCATAACACCTGTGTTTACCCTACTCTTTCATGTTAAAATGGCAGCTGTGAAAAACCTCCATTGTTACTATTCTAAAGATAGCAGTTAAGTAGGAAGTAACTAATTACAAGTAGGCTAATGCTGTTACTATAATTGAGCTGGCCTACTTTTTATATGTAGCAGCAGTTGTACCTTTTCTGAGGACATTAGAAAATCTGTAAAAGGCTTAAGAAGTCCTTGAAAGTAACCTCACACAAAAATCACATTGTACAGTGATGGTGTAACGACACAAGATAAACATTTAAATTGTACTTTCCTCTCATAAAGCTCAGTCTCAACTCAGTCATCGGTGATATTCCAGTATACTCTCATGCTCGCCGCTCATTCATAAAACAAAGCAAACTGAAGCACTACTGTCCAAATTGTACGTAGATATTGTACACAATCTGTGCTGTCAAATCAACTAACCAATCAGCCTAGCCAAAAACTTTTAACAGATACATAGGTGGTTGGTTAATGTTCATATTTACAAAATACCTTTTAATCTCTTTTAATGCCAATATACTGACAAATAAGGCATGATGAATAGTACTTATATTCACTGTTCTACAGTAAGTATATACTGAAATGCTCTTTTATGAGGGCTTTTATGGATACTTTATGGATGGATTGCACATTAAGAAACTGCCATGATAATGCACCTTGCATTAAGTCATCCTGTGTGCTGGTATTTACATTTTTATGCTTTCCTAAACTTACCCAATGTTTACCAAGTACCCATTTTGTGATGGACAATATGAATCTTCCTCAAAGGAAAGGAGTGGAGTGGAATTGGTGGCTAAGGGAGTTTACACAGCCGTCGTATTAAGCGATGGTAAATTCGATTTCATCCATCTCTTCCTCTGTGTCCTCCATGATCTCCGCTGCTCTTTCAGCCCTCGCTCTCTCACTGGCCGGGATGTAGTTGTCCTCGATGAAGCCGTCGTCATCTTCCTCGCACACAGGAGGCAAAGAGTGAGGGTTAATTCCACGTCCTCCGTGCATGGCAAATTCCACATCCAGGCCTGGAAGCAGTAGTAGAAACACAAGAGTCGTACTGCGTTAGGACCAACAATCATTTAAAGATAAGTCGTGTGTGTCATTCTAGCTGTCTAGCTGTGTAATGTCACATTGATGTAGCCTACAGCCTGAAGCTGCTTTAACAGTGACTAATGAACTGGATTTGTGTGGTCAGATGAGGTTTGACAGACATTTTACTCCCAAATGAGCTTTCAATGATTATTGTTTTATCTGCTCACAAGAAGGGAGTGTGTCTGAAAGATAATCAGCATTGATGCTATCACATTTTCTATCCTTTCGAAATGTTCCCATTAGTTTTTGACTGTAGCATTTTTCTTGCAAATACAGACTTCACTGTAGAAAGCATATGTATCGTCTCTTCCTGTTTCTCTTTTTTAGGCCTAGGCACATTGTGCAAAAAAACTGTGTGGACATGACATTACAGTTACATAATGAGCACGAAGATTTATTGTTCTTGATGTTAGCCACACCCTTGCTGATATTTTTGGCCACGTGGGAGCAGCAAAACATTGACATCACCATATAAAGTTGTAAAGACAAAACAGTTGCTTCTGTACACACACAGTTACTGACTTTATCTGTCTACTATTTGGTGCTGGGCAGACACTAAAATGCTCCATAAGGCTTAGGGGAATAACTGAATAATTGGATGATAATTCTCTGTTTGTTAAGCGTCACATTTCACATTACACTTATACATTATACTACACTTATTTGATTGTTAATATAAAAATATTGGTTAGTGACAGTTGCCAAACACACTATGGCAACAAGGAGACTTTTTATTGTTGTTTTTATGTTTTCTGCTTCGAATATTTATTCCTGACTTAATATTGGTGCTACCTCTGTAAAACAAAATGCATCGCCTCTTGTCTAACCAAGGGAAGAGGTTTAGAAAGGTTCATCGCTCCTACATGTTTATGGTCATTATCTGTGAACCACCTCTGTTTTCAATGCTGAATACAAACAGGCTGTACACTCTGTGTCTGAGTGTCAAAGAAAGCAGCATTTTTACCCGCTGCACAAAGAAATTTTAGGTTTATGATATTAAAGTATGTTTTATGGGCACACAACAAACCTGATGAGTCACAGTGGCTAACAGTGTCTGTCTCCCTCAGCCGTGTGTGCCGGTAGCTGGCCAGGTAACGCCGAACCACCTGGCATTTAGCCAGAAGGGCGACAAGAATGGCCAGAGAGATGGATGTGACCAGGACGGCCACCAGGAACTCCCATTTGTGAGAGGTATATTTGCCTCTCGGGCTTGTCAGAGTGTCTGCAAGAGAGAAAAATTAATCACATCCTGCTTAATCTGCCAATTTTAGGATCATGAAGCAACCTCCTGGTTTGATCGTGGACTGGTGTTTTCATCCTTGTCATTGTGGAAAGCACCTAAATACCCAATGTCAGCTCAGTCCCACCTCAAACCAGGCTGTATTTACCATTTTTTTGTCTTTGAATTCTTACCATTCTGCGTTGTTGGTGTAGTTGCAAATGTCGTGCCATATGATGATAGTTCCATCTGGCTTTGCTCTTGTTTGTGCAGTCTCTTTTGGGGTGTGGCTTCTCCTGTGTGGCTCAGTTTGCCTCTTGTTGGATGAGACTTGTCTCTTGCTCTTGGGCACCATTAACTCTAGCCTGAAACCATGGATCATGGGTGTATATCACATATATATCTTATATCTTGTTCTTTTGTGACTTGCTAATTGGGAGCTTCTCTTTCTGCAAGATCCAGCAGACACTTGAAACTGAATAAGAGGTTTTAATTACTTCACCAACCGATGTTTGATATTGTGCAAAACTGGTTAGTGTTGTGTTGTCTTCAGAAGATAAAAAATAAATAGGATCTGAGGGTGTTGCAGGGTAGGCATCTCTCCAGATGAGGGAGGTAGTTGGCTGGAAGATTTCTGTTGACCAGGAGGGAGTTAAACCTTCAGAGCTCCACTAGGTGGCAAGGTTGAGTGACAGGGGACTCCTTGGTTCAGTAACAAGTGGAAGGTGGTGGCAGCATTATCACCCTATGTATGAGTTGAAATATGGGCCGGTGTCCTCTTGCTGCAGTCACATGAGGCTTTAGAGAAAGTGTGAAAGAAAAATAGTGAGTTAAATCAGTATGAACAAACAACAAAGGCATCTTGCAAAAAGAAAAAAGATCTGCTTTTGAGTTATGTAGAATATCAGTTAACTACAATGCCCCTTTATCCCATGTGCATTATGGCTTTGAATTCTTTTGGACTCTTTGTGCTGGCAAATGCATATTTCATGACTGAGTCACACAAAAAGAACTTGAACAATCAAATGACCTAAATATTTCACTTAGTATGTATGAAGAGTGACAGTGTCATCATAAAAAGCAGACGCTGCTGGAATCCTCTAAATCCAGAAGTCATAATTGAGTACAAGCTGTCAGGAGCTCAGGAGGAGATCATCCACAACAGGAAAAGTGTCGCAAACAGGAAGTCCCACATACTAGGACCTTTCCCGGTAGGTCTAGCTGGCACAAAACACTGGTAAAATCACCAATTGGTGTGTGTGTGTGCGTGCATGCGTGTGCGTGTGTGTGAGAAAGAATCTGACCATGCATGCGTCACAGCTTCCCACAATACAGGAGCCACATACCTTCATGATTCTCATGAACAAGGACAATAAAAGAAAGCCTACTGGACATAATGTGTTTACAAGCTTTTTAATGAAATTTCATGTTGTCATGCCACATGCCCAAATGTGTAAAGGCAATGTAGACGCGAAATGCTATCAAATATGATCAACATGGGTTTTGAAGCTAAATTTATTTACTGTTTTGGCAGTGCTAGTTGGCTTAGCTTAGCTTAGCTTAGCACAAACACTAGAAACAGGAGAAAACAGCTAGCCTGTCTCTGTTGAAAGATGATAAATCTCCCCTACCGGCACCAGTAAAGCTCACTAACCAATACATTCTATCTTGTTTGTTAAATCAAACAAAAACCAAAGTAACTACTTACTTCCTCAAGTCTCTGCTGGTTGCCTGGCAACTGATGCGAGCCAAAAAACCCCACTTCCTTCCATAAAAGAGCAATTTGTTGTTTTTACACTTCAGTTTTTGTACGGAGCAAACAAGATATTATTTAGTTAGTGTAGAAGTACTGGTAGGTGTATCCTCTGGACCGAGCCACTTGAGCACTTTCCCCTGTTTCCAGTCTTCCTGCTAAGCTAAGCTGGCGAATAAAGCAAATACGTAAGGATAAACTATTCCTTAAATTGTAATATAAATAAATAAATAATAGTATCACGATGGATTCAAGTACTCTACCCTTTCACTTGCTGTAGTGTGTGCGAGCTGAAATCAAAAGCATCAGTGTTGTTCTGAATGCAAATAAAAGCCTATGATAGAAACTTGTGTTTGAAAGAGAGAGGATCTTTGTGTACAGCTATTTGCAAGTTGCCAGATTTGCATGCGCGAGTCTACAGGTAGACTTCCTGTGTTTATAGTAGAGCTGTGAGGATGCAGTCAGACAAGTTCAGTGTGCACTAACTGTAGTTTATGTTTAACATGCCTTGCTAGCGCCTGCATTTTTGATGTTTCCTGTATTGTTTACTTTGGAACGTACAAGGTCATGCTTTTAAAGGACATTTCTTAGATTTTAGATTAATTTACAAAGTAAACGTAATGACTATATATGTGTCTTTGATTTGCACACTTGCTAAGCCGGTTTGCAATGGGCAGAAGAGGTTCCTATGCAAATGCAGAATATGTGTACAGAAAGGAATAGCTATTTGGAAATATGCTTATTATATTAAAGCTGATAGCCTGATATTATTTTGCCTTGTAAATCACAAATGTGGACTTATTGTTCACACTGATCGATCTGTATGGTATGGGGTGAGCCTAACATAGATCTTTCTGTTAAAATATGCCTATATGTTTTGACAAATATCCATTTAGTTTTTCATTGACTTGAATTGTGCAGTTGGATAACTTGGGAAAAAACAAACAAACTAAACTAACACTAGGCTGCACTTTTGTTTGATGTGCTGAAATGATGGCTCCCCAGTCTTGAAAACACATAAAAGTCATTTAGAATCTTATACGCATTTCTTCCTTTGTCCAAAAGGTGGTTGTAGCATTCTGTTGCAGTCTAGATTAAGAATTGTATATTTCTCTCTGTGTCTGTCTTGGCTCTGAGGTGACTTTTCACAGCAAGAGGGGTCCGGCTGCTTAGCGCCAGTCATTAGGCCTCTTCCTTTTCGTCTTCTACAGCTATTCTCTTCAGCAGTGTTGGCTGTAAACACACTGACGGGGCTGCCTTTATCTCTTCCTGTTCTGTCCTCACACACAGGCATAGCAAAACAAAATATACACACCAAGCAGCACAGGACCGGGAGCTATAGAGGAGAAGCCTGGGAGCGGGAAATGTGTGTCAGATGTAGACAAGTGTTTGTGAGCTGTACTGTATGTGAACATGCATGTACAAGAGGTTACATTTGCATCTTTGTCTGCAATAATATGTACTTGAATATTAGAGAATAGGAGAGGAGTCAGTTTTTCTTAGTCATTCTTTGTCCCAGTGCTCCAAATTGTGAGTCGAGTGTCAGTTTATAAACACTAATGACGGCCAGAGGGGGTAAAATGTTCTTTCTGTCATCAAACTGAATTAAACATCAAAATCATGTTCTGCTCATGAACTGTGATCCCATTCCTTTGAACAGACAAATTAACTGTAAGCTATTTTATGGTTGGAAATTTGATTATGCTGGCTGAGAGTGGTGGAGGTAGGCTACATTTACTGAAGTACTGTGCTTAAGTACAATTTTGAGGTACTTGTACATGAGTTCTCTACTTTACGCAACTTCTATTATATTACATTGGGAGATAACCATTGTACTTTTTATTTATTTGTCTGGTTGAGGCCCCCTTCACGCTTCAAATGTAATGAGTTGTTTGTAGTGCTTACAAGTGATTTTCCAAATGTTACTTATCAGATGAATTGGAGGCCAAAGGGTCCAATATTTCACCAAACAACAACTACAAAACAAAATCAATACACATTTGTGTAACAGAACCTTCTTTTTGCTTCTTTCTTGCCCCAGTAATCATCTCAAGACTTCTCAGATTTCTTATGACCCACTGGAGAAGACCTGGACCCTAAACTGGACTGTATATAATGTAGGTTTGTATATATATATATACATACATATAATCAAGTAGATCAGTCTGTAGGATTAAGCTGTAGCTGCAGATTGCAACTCTCTCGCTTCACCTTCCCCATCCAAACATGAAACTACTAAACTACATTTGCCACAAAATGAACAAAAAACACGAACAGCACTATCGAGAGCCAGTTTTTAGTTTGTCTGTTCTGGGCCACTGTAGAAACATGGTGGCTCAACATGGTGGACTTGGAAAACGACCCACTTTCTCTCTAGATAAAAATGGTAAGGTAAAATAACAAAAACACAATGATTCCTATTTCCAGATGATTATACACTAATTAAAACGTATCTATGAATATTATATGCCATTTCTGCCAGTAGATCGTCCCAAATGTTACACACTGGTCTTATAAGTGTCGACCAGCTACAACAGTAAAATAATACTTACACATTATGCATTAGTATTAGCAATAATAGTGTAATACATAATAAAATCTATCAGACTTCCTCTCCCATCATTGAACCTCAACAACAAACAGCCTAAAACAAATTTAATGGTACTACATTCAAGTAGATTTTGAAAACCGCTTACAAAATGTTCTGGCTTCATATAATCATCCAATCACACTTGACTAACATCTCCCTCTCTCTGGCTAAGACAATCATAGATATTCACAGAAAATCAAAGAGTCGTCCTTCAGTTGACCCTCACCCCAATAATCCAGAGAGCAACATGCAGCAAGCCTCCCTCTTATCCCACTGCCAAGGTCTGTATTTTTGTCTTGCTTTGAAAATGCGTGGAGGAGTCAGGCTCTGCCATTGTTTGTCAAGGATAATGGCATAAGGTCTGATTGTGCAGTGAGTTAAAACACAGCTGGCAGAGACATTGTTTATGAGTGGGGTTATTTAACTCACACTGTAACTCAAGCTCACAGAGCCTGTGTAAGATATTTTGGTATGAAAACTATACCTTTGAATAATGATTAACCAATTGTACTTGTGTTTTCCCTTTTAATTGAAGCATGGTCATAATAGCTTAAGTAGTGCCCTAAAATGTCATGCTTGGTTTTTGCCTTTCAGCTCTGGAATAATGGCAGTGTCAACAGAGAAGCCACAGGGACACAATGAGTAAAAGCTAACGTTAATGTTAGGCTAATAAAACAACACACTACATAATCTGCATCATGACCACACACTGTGGTATTTTATATTCAGAGATAGCACCTGGTTCCTTTATTAGGCTAAATAAATACGGCAGGTCTGAATGTGTTTTTCTTAGAGAGTGAGAAGATTGAACAAGCTGCTGATGGTGCCTTAGTGTTTTGGGTGAAAACAGCAAGTGGCCAACATGCAACAGGTGCGGGAAATGGTTTGGCTACCAGAAAAGTTAAACAGTTTGGCTATGTGTCTTTTCTATATTGAGAAAGAATGGCCTTCATCAACTGCTACAGGTGATCATTTCTATCGTTGCTGTGTTCAGAATTATATCAGAGCCAGTCAAGTAGCTCTTACTGTAAATACCTGTGAATATATCTGAGAATTGGGCAATTGTAACTCATCTTCAAAGCCCCTTTTAAGTACATTGTGACATTTTACAACAGGATTTGTAATCATTGCAGTCAGTTCAGTTCACAAGATAAGCTATAACCTAACAAGAAGTCAAGATAGTCATATGATTTTTACACAGTACAACACGGTCTGTACACGATCAGTCTTACCTGGTCACCTGTCTGTGTAGTTTCCTCCTGCTTCAGCGAATTCACCTGCTGTCTGTCCACTCTCACATTTCACATCAGCATTAACTACATTTTCTTTTGCAAAATGGAGAAATGTTGTGCAAAGGTTGAACGAGGTGTGCTCTGCAGCTGCTTCCCAGAAGGACAAGTTAATGGGTAACTTTGTAACTAAGGTGTGCTCCCTCCCGCCTACCATTGCTCCTCTCTGTCCAATGGCACAGCAGACCTGGTCAGAGGCAATACTGTCACTCAGCAGTGCCAAACCAGGAAGAGGTAAAATGCGACTTATGAGCAATATGTCATATTTTAAAATGTAACTACCATTGTGCATTCATAAGTGAAACTGTAAGAAACCAGTCAAACCTGCTTCTTTTGCAAATAGATGTTCTGTTAGTATAGATATGGCTCTAGTGGGTAATCAGATAATCTTGTTTGATATCGGCTTTTGCCTCTTGTCGTGTGTGTGTGTGTGTGTGTGTGTGTGTGTGTGTGGAAGTGTAGTTTAGTTAGTATGCTTGCCAGGCGCCACACCTCGATTTGTTTATCTAAAATATAAATCCTTTTGTCAGTCCTTTTTAGACGAAGGAGGAAATCAGACAAGATACTGTTTGTGGCGACAAGGAGTTTTGTTTATTTAAGATGTACAGCCTGAGGGGAGAGAACAGACCTCTGGTGGCTCTGAAAGGAAAAGCTAGGTGACCCTGAAAACAATAGGGCCACTTCCTGGCCACTCGACAGTTCGCTCTACATCTTTACATCTCCCTCCCTTACTCTTCCTCCTTCCCTCCCTCCTTCCCTCCCTGTGTTCCTATGTTCCAGGATGCTTCAGCTGCATGTCTTAGGGCAGATGGCAGGGACAAGGAAAGGTTGGGACAGTAAAATGACAACTCAGCATCAGCTGAAAGAAGCAGTAGGGGTTTCCCACCACAGATAAGAAAGGCTTGATTAGTTATCAAGTTGATTAGTTTAAAAAGTTATTATTAACAGCCATTGTTAGGAAATTTGGTTACTGTTAAATTAGGAAAGAACAAGGCGAATAGACGTGAATGTCTTTATATAAAACATGCATTAACTGATTTTTTTGGCCACTTGGGGGCAGCAGAAACAAGCTGTTAGCACTAATGATATGTTATCAACTTTTAACTTGTTAGCAAAGAGTTGCTTATTTACACACCGAGGATACACAGAGTAACATTGGAGTTGTGTTTGTGCCTTATGAAAGTCCATTATTCACTCTCTTTTTACAACTCATGACAGAAATATTTGCCTCTTTAGTTCCGAATGCTTCACTATGTTCACCAGCAAGCCGCTAACTGTCTGTCTTTGTCTGCCTTTGTAGTAAGTGTGACCTTATCCACACACAAAACAAACACATTTAGAGAGCTGTGATAAATGTCTAATCAGAAAGATGTGTAAGTTAA